CTGCTAACTGAGCTCTTCCTGCTGGAACTGTTCACAGCATTTGTTTTTGTTTGGGATTTGACAGATCTCTGGGGTTCTGATCAAAGACGTTTTTAAGGACAAATATAATCTTGTAGCTCTTCCAATGAAAAGTGGTTGGCTTGGGGCTTTTTTTTTGTGCTTTTGACTTAAGAACTTGTAATTCAGCTCCACCTTGTTGGCCTCTTACTAGACTTTCTCAGGGTGCTGCTGTAGCACTGCAGCTATTGTGATACCATAGCACACCTGAGGAAGAGGAGTCCAGCCTACAGGAAAGATTTAAGAGCAGGAGGCAGCAAAATCGTGTTCTTGGGACTGTTAGAATAGGTACTTGAACTCAAACTTGGTTTGACTTGTAGCTGTGCTCTCACTGCTTCGTATGACACCAGGTTAGCAGGCCGCACTCAAACTTGGTTTGACTTGTAGCTGTGCTCACTGCTTTGTATGACACCAGGTTAGCAGGCCTTCTTTTTGTGCTAAAATAAAATAGCTCTGACAGAACAGATGTATTTCCATAGTAGCAAAGAATGATGGTGAACTGATTTATCAGGGAAAATGGGTGGAGAAAATGGGCAATTAGCTCATTGGAGAAGGCAGGAGACCTTTTTTGAGAGTGTTTTCTGGGTAGCAGAGGAGAATACATGCAGCTGGAATTGGCATCTTGCTGGTTGGAGGCAGGACACCACAAATATTGCAGGCACAGTATGTTTCAGGTTGCAGTTAATGATCCTTTGGGAGAAAATGGCTTGACTTCTGATACTGGAATATAAACACACAAGCCTGCCTGGCTGGAATGACTTTTTATACAAGGCTCTGGAACTTGGTCTTTGTTTCTCTCTGGGGAAGGGGAGGCAGGATCTATCTTCTTGCTGAGCTCACAAGACTGACACAAGTGCATACTGTAACACTTGTGCAGAGTTGTGAAATCTGGGGCACAGGAAACTACATGATTCAAAACAGGAAGAGAAAAATCCTGCATTTGGATTTTTAATCTGTGTTCACGATGTTGAAGACATGACTAGAAATCTGAAGATTTTTGCTAAATTGAAGCACAGAACAGTTGACTCAGGACAAATGATTTTATCTTTTTAATCGCTTAATACTCCCTTAGTTTGTCATTTGTAAATTCTGTCAGTAACTATTTGTCATCTCTCCCTCTGCCTTGTCCTTGGTCACTTAAAAAGTGCAGAGCTCTGCCTTATTCTGGCAGGACCTTGCTCATTTAAGCTGAGAGGCAACTCTTAAACTTGTTCATAGGCTGTGTTGCTCTTGCATTTCAGTTTGTTTAAATGTGTGGTACAGAACCACTAGTACAAACATCTGCAAAACGAGGTCTTTTTTTTCCCTGAGTTCTTAAGCAAAAAAATAGCAAGCTGAATATACAATCTAGCTTTTCTGAGCTGAAGTAAGCCTGATTACTAATCAGCTGATAGCTGCTTTTAAGAACAGCTGAGCTGAATCAGACTAAGCATCTGCTTAGTGTAGCATCCTATCTCCAGCTGTGGCCAGAGCAGTTTGAAGGTGAGCAAGCTGAGCATTGCAGTGGTGTGTTCTTTAAATACTCTGACAGCAGTTGAAAAGCAGTTTCTTCTGTGTTTAACAGCCATCAGTTTGCTCTTTCTTGTTCAGTCACCTTATGAATCTGTTATGTTCCAAGGGAATGATTTTTTTCATAACCGCAGGTCTCGTGAATAATTGTGACCTCTTCTATTTGTTTTGGGGTTTCTGCTGCTAGATTTTTTTGATTCTCCTGGTTTTTACACTGGAGCAGATAGCAGCTGATCTATTTTAAGTCACACTTTCCAAAGCTGCTCCAGATTGGGTAAACTTCTGGCAGAGCTCCCTGCACTGGTTTCAGGTCAAGGAAAGTCTTAGCCTACTTAATTGCCACCTGTATAAATTACTCCTAGGCCATTGATCATCCTAGTCAGTCTTCTGTAATCTTTAAGATATAGAGAAAGGCAAGGACCAGAACTTTTTGTGCAGGATTGAATGCAAAAAGTTCATGGAGTGGATCTCTCTATCGTATTGGTTTTGTTTCTTGTTTTATTTGCTTTTGAATGGTATTGAGCTCAGTATGAGAGAGGTTGGAATTCTAGTAGATTGGAAACCTGAGCAAAGAATTATAAATTCCTGTTTTCCCTCTAAAACAAGGACGTAACACTTTATTTTTCACCCAGCCTCTTTGGAACTTTATAATGAAGGCCTGACTATACCAGAGTGGATGAACTACACAATAAAAGCTCAAGTCATGGGACCACATGTTGTGATACAAAGGCAAAACGCTAAGCTAAGGTGTTTTCCATTTACTGGGCTCAGTCTGGTGGCATGGATAATCTCACTGCTGACTAGGAAAGATGTATCTGTGGTTTTGGTTTAAGAGCACTGTTACAGAGCTGATGGAAACTGAAAATTATTTGGAGATAATATAAACCTCTTGCTGTAATTCCAACAAAGTTGAGGATTATGCTGCTGAGGAAGTAGCCTCACGGGAATAGAAGCAGCTAGTCCTTCGAGAAGCTTATTCCACTCCCTAGAGCTGGTCATGGTGACTTTAGCTGGTTTATGCTGTGTCTGATGTGGAGAAAGATACTCATGTTCTTTTCCTGAAGCGTTTTGTTTGTAGTGTGGCGTCTTTTCTCCTGGCTTTAAGAGATGACTGTGGTATTTTCAGGTCTGTGAAGTGCTAGACCTGTTGTCTCTTGCACATCTGCTCCTCGTGTTAGACTGATCCAGCCTGGGATTAGTAACTAAGCAATGCTCCATGGGCCAGTGCAAAGTATGCAGAGACAGCCTGTCACTGCATGTGCCTTGGGCTACCTCGATAGTGGTGTGCAGTTGAATTAGTTACAGCTGCAGAAGAGGGAGTGGGTTCGATGGCCATTGCTACATGCTTGTTTACTAACACAGGTTTTCGATTAATCTGGAGACTAGAAAGTTTCCAGCACTTGTCAGAGGGGCAATACATCTGCTGCAGGTCCCTGCACTGACATAAATAAAACTCTGTGGAAGGGGGTTGTAGCTTGTCCCTTCCTCTCTTCTGCTGCAGTGATCTGACCAACAAAACACCTGCTCTTCTTCAATCAGCTGAATTTACAATAGCAGTGAAACAAGCCCAAGTCTCGTCTCTAGCCTGTTGTGGCAATTTTTATTTTCTTGACAAGTAGGTTCTCTGTAAAGCAGAGTCTGAACTTGTAAAAAACACAGAAGATGCTGGAAGATTTTTTTGCAATCCTCCAAACTCAATACAATGGCAGTCATGCTTTGTAGTTTCCTTTCTACAGATAGCAGATGTAATTAAAGCAGTGCCCTCGTGGCATACTTGTTGGGGGTGTGAAGCTAGGAGCTGTGCTTTCCAACCAAGCAGCTCAGCAGCAGGCTTGCTGCTGTCGTAGGCTGCTGTGAGGCAGCAGTGTTCTGCTAGAAAGGCACGTTGGGTTTAAGTCCTGTGGCTGCAGCTCTGCTGCAAAACAGAAGGTCCTTTATTTCCCAGTAGCTGACATCACCCAAACTTTTTCTCCTTTTACCTTTGCTAAAATTTCTGCAGCTGAAAGATCTATTGTCTCTAAAAAACCCACACAATCTCTGGCTTCTAACTTGTTTTGAATTTCTTACTATTACGACTACTGTGATCATCTAGTCTGACTTCCTGCCTCCCACTGTCTATAAACATCCTGTAAATAACTTCAATTCTGATAGCTGTGATTAAACTGGAATGTTGTTAGAAAATTCCTGTGAAGTAGAGAATATTTCAAGATGGGCTGTATGCCACAGCCTGAAGTGGGGTATTGCTTCTGCTGCTGTAGCTGGGCAACCTGACCACAGTCTGAATGCCTGGAAGCACAGCACCTTCCACGCAGCTCGTTTTCTAACTGTGGCTATGATGATATCCTGTATCTGACCTTTCCCATTTAGTGTGTTCAGAGGGAGAGAAAGAGGGGAAAAAAGGAAACACCCATTACAGGCACCTTCCTCACTGTACTGTAACTGTTTGGTGTCATTTGCTAATAGGCTTTTCAGACCTCTTTCTTTAGAAGAGTTGCTCTAGGAAATCCAGTTTGGAATTGCTTTGACAGTTCTAGGGCACCTGTTATTCAAACATCTTGCAAAAGTTTAAAGTAGCTCAAAGATATGTCATGACTTCCTTTATAGACTAAGAAAGAAAATCAGTTGGAAAAGGGTATCCATGAAGTGCGTATCCTATCCTGGAACCTTAATTACACAATTGTCCTTCCTCTCTGCAGGCAGTGCTGATCCATGTTGCTCTTCTACTGGGCTAGAAGAGCCTTAAGCAATTACAGGAGTTTTGAGTCACATGAAGTCTTGATTAACAGACTCCTCATTAAAACTCCAGCAGATGCATGGGCTGCAGTAGCACTGACTTTACCAGAGAAAATACCATCCAGAGACATCCTCTGAGTCAAAACACAGGCAGGCAGTATCTAGGGAGCAGTACAAGAGAGCAAAATCTACTATTGGCTTCTGTGAAGCTGCCCAACTCTTCTGCTTGTTAAATAAGACAGTTGCCAAACAAAATAATTCCTTTTGTCTCCTTTATCAGCCTTTGGATTTGCTGGGAGAGATTCACAGTCTTAACTGCAGCCATTCTGCTGATAAAGGCAGTATTTATATACTCTTGTAGATATGATAAACTAAACATACAAATCTCCTATCAGTTTATTAGCTTTTTAGCAGTTCATAAATAGGAAACCTCATTAAGAAAACAGCTCCTGAAACCTAATTCAGCAGTGTCCTCGAAAGAGCTTTCACTCTGTTGCACTGAAATTACTTAACTAAGAATCTCAAAACAGCATGTTGTCTTGCCTCATCAAAACCTTCTCATGTTAAATGGATTGTCTTATATGAACAACTAAAAGATAGCATATGTTTTGACCTTTTTTCCAGAAATACAACCACTAGGGGAATCTAAATTGCTTTAAAATTTGTCAGGATGTACATTTAGGACAAAGACTGCTTTTCACAAGTTGCAAAGATTCAGGTTTGCTAAACTTCTTCAGCTAATTGTTACTAAAAGATAAGAGGATACAGAGGATACAGATTTTGCTACAAGAGCAGAGCTAAGATAAAGGACTGATCTTGCTGTGGTTCATAATAAAGGAAGCAAAATGCATGCATGCTCAAACATGACTCTTCAGACTGCCTGTGAGATACCTTCTCCCATCTTGTAGTACATACTGTCCACTTACTTAATGTGTATTAAATCACAATGTATCACATATTGCTTGAAATGATGATATATGGTCCTGATCCCTGAAGGAGCTGAAGGTGATGCCTATGTTAGTCTGCCAAAAAAAGGATAGTCCTTGTGATTTTTGCATCTAGGAAAAGAGTATGATTAAAACACTTTGATATAGTTTTAAGGCTAAGAAGAAAAAGCTTTTTTTCCCCCCTGACAAAAGCTCTGCAGAACTAAAACTGCCAACTACAGTAAAAACCCAAATGTGACTCTGCTTAGTTTACGTGGGGCAGTGGAAGTTAATGCTCTGCAACCTTGGCATGTGCCAGTGACCTTGTTCTCAAAAGACAATGTGTCTTTTGCTTAGCTGAAATCACCAAACTTCCCTGTGATGCTAAACTGCTCTTTTGTGAACCCCTGAGTCTGCAGTATGTGATTTTTAAGCGCGTAAGCTGAGAAAACAGAATAAATTGCAGATCTGGGTAAGTTTGTATCTAACCATTCTATTACCTGCACGCTGCATTAATAACATTGGCAAGAATACGTAGGCACAGCTTCTCACTTCAAAAAAACTTAAAACTCTCATTCTTAAAATGGAGTTTATTTACACTGACTGTCTCTTATATACAGTAGCCAAAGAAAGCAAACAAAAAAAAGCTGCCTATTTGTTTTGGAGTTTCCAACTGGTTTTGATTTTCAGACTGCAGTTTGGTATGTATCTGTTACAAGACACCTTAACACACAATGTACCTGCAAAAATCCCAGTGCTGCCAACCTGTACCAGATGGGCAGTGCTCTGATAAGCTCTAGTGCTGGATTCCAGCAGATACGGATGAGTATGGACCAGGTACTGGCTAGGGTTCCCTCTCTTTTTATCAAATTCTGTTAAGAGGATATCCAGTGGTAACCCAATCTTGCTAAAACATGGAGCAGGAGCTTCTGGCTCACTTAATGCACAGATGCAATACCACCTCTTAAAAGCAAGGAAGGTTTCCATTGCCTTTTCAGCCAATTCAAAGTCACCTACCTGAATAAAGGTCCCAAACAGCTGGGTTACACTTGTCTTTTTGCAAACTGAAGGAATTCTTCCTTCATTTGCAGGAAGAACACCAAAAACAGAAGAAGAAAAGCGTTGTATTTGTTGAAGCACAAGGAAGTGTGCAAGGGATGCACGTTTGGGTGAATGATGAAAACATCTCATAAAGTTACAGTGCTGGTGGGGTCCAATTGTGTCATATTTAGATCACAAGGTGGAAAAATTAATATCTCTGAGTTCTAATGAAGGAGACTCTGCTCCTTATTTTAAAGTAGCTTTTTGCATTCATAAAGAAATAACTTACGTAGTATCTGACAGGCAAAAGGTTTTTTTCTCAGTTTTAAAGGTAAAGCAGGTACTTGGTGCCACTAACAGTGGATTTTTCTGCGTAAGTTGACACCATTAAGAATTCTGTAGTTCTTGCCTTGAAATTTTCCGTGATATGATGTGAAGTGACAGGTTTGGGAACAACACTCATTTCTTTGAACCTGGAGCCGGATAAGCATCTCCAGGAGCAGATAAGGAATTACAGCTCAGCAGTTCTGCCTGTCTGCTGAAAGCCAAAAACCATACATGCTTCCGTGGTTACATGGAGCAGCTCTACTGATAATCAGAGATGGCTCCCATGGGAAAAGCACTATAGTAAACCCTTCCTAATTATTACGTGAGCTCATTTAATCACTATCTGTCTCTGAAGTCGGGATGACAGCATGGGAGTGCATTGAATGAGAGTTCCGGATTGGCCAGGGATGCTGCGTGTGGAGGTGGCTAGCATGCCACGTAAAGCCCAAAGCCACTGGTAGTCTTCTGTCCTTCATGAAAACTAGTGTTAGAGTATTTTTTAAAGCGTTACACAGCTGGAACTCAGCTTTCCATTAATACCTCTGTAAATAGTTACTTTAGCACAAGTGGGAAAAATACATGTCACTAGGGAAAATACCATGACCAGTATTAACCTGAGCTGGGGTTTTGTTGTACAAGAGTGCAATTCCCTTAATTTGGGGATGATCAGAAAGGGAAATATCCTCAGGCCCGGACCTATGAAACTAAAAAGCAGACTTCAGCAGTTGAATGGCCCTCTGTCTTCTCCCTCAAGCACTGCAGTGTAAGAATATTATTTGAATTACGAGAAGGCATCATCTTGCACACTTTAATTCACCATCTTCTTGTTGCTCCAGTCCTTGTCTTCATTTTTTTTCCTTTTGCCACAGGCTGGCACATGAGAAGAGGCCTGGAGTTTCTAATGTCACTGTAACACATTTCGGTCCAGCCTGGGATCAGGCCAGGAATTTCTTTGGTCCAGATCCTGAAAATTCCATCTTAAGAATGGGCAGCTGTCATGTCCTTCGCAAGCACAGCTGCTCTGTCCCAGGTCAGAGAAAGCCACGAGGATTGGAGTAAAAGCAAAATTTCTTCAAGTCATCCATTTAAAAACCTAATCCATTTGTCTCAGCAGCACTGCAAAGTTGCTGTTTTCGTAAGCATGTGCTGCTTTGCTTTTGGGGGATTTTGGTTCAGAAGTTCTGTTACATGTTTAATATTAAAGTTCACTCAAGCTGAATGAAGAATTCTCTTCACTGCTTTCACCAACCCATTGATCCTTTTTCTCCTAAATATTAAACGCCAGTAACAGTACAGGTGTGAATTAGTGGATTGATCATCACAGTAAGTATGAGAGAGGTTTCTCTGTGTGTGTTATTTTTAACTATTTAGTAAATATTTTTCTAATGACATCAGTTTTATTCTGTGAGAGTTTGCCCACATCCTAAGGGTGGTTTATTGGCTTTAACCCATGTGTAAGAAAAGTCTCACAAAGCATTCTTACATGGCCAGTTGGGCGCTCCAAGGGGATGATACGCAGCGACAGAGATCCCTTTGGATTGGCACAATTTCATCAGCTCTTCCTGCGGAAGACAGGGGTAGCTCTCAACCTACCAACAAAAATAATAGGTTTCTTCAGAAGCAGAAGGTACTTCAAGGTTTAGCATCACTACAGTGACCTACCAAGCCCCACATCAGCAGGCTCGTGTAACTGCAGCTTCCTGCACAAGGGCACAGAGCATCCTGCATTTTTCTTTACTTTATGCTGTAGCTAACCACAGATGTATTCTTACACAAGTATCAAAAAGCACAGCCTTGACATAAAAGCTATTTTACTGCCAGAGATGTTCCATCAAATGTAACTACCCCTGTCCTTGTTTCAGCTGGGACAGAGTTAGGTCTTCTTTGGAGCAGCAGGAAGAGCTCTGTGTTTTAATTTTAGTCCGGGATTTGATAAGAGAAGAATGTTGATAGCACACTGATGTTTGTAGCTGGCACTGAGACCTCAAGGACTGTCCAGCTTCCCATGTTTTGTCAGTGTGCAGGTGCACGGCAGGCTGAGAGGGGAGCATAGCCGGGATGAAAGGTCCACAATTTCCCTTACAATTTGAATTTAGACTTAGGATTGAGGGCCAAATCAGCCAATGAAGTATTCCATACCGTGCAGCATCATCCCCAGTGTACAGATGAGGGCTGACTGGGAAGAAGGGCTTTTACTCTTCTGGAGGCTCTCGCTCTCAGACTCACGGAGTGCGCTTTCCTCACTCTCTTTTTGGGCCTCTCACTTGTCCAGGATTGCAGTGTCAGGACTTACCTGTTTTGGGATCATTAGTCTGGGACGGGACGGGTCTTGGTCACCAGGTGGTGAGCAATTATACTGTGCATCACTCGTTTGTATGTATTATTAGCATTATAGATATGTATATATTCATATATTAGTACTAGTAGTAGTATTAAATTGTTCTTATCTCAACCCACGGGTCTCCCTTTTCCCCTTTAATTCTCTTCCCCATCCCCTGGGGGTGGAGGAGGATGAGCGAGTGGCCGTGTGGCATTTAGTTGCCGGCTGGCCTAAACCACGACAACCCCAGACAGGGGGGTTGTTCTCAAACTCTGATGAGTTTGAGAACAATTTACGTAATTATTGGCATGTTTGCCTCTTAAGTCTGGTATCCTCAAGAGCTGATGTATCTTTGCGGTTGAAGTTGGAGACACCAAAAGCCTTCACTATTCCTGCATCCAGCAGCTCTTCCCTAGCCTAGAAACACTACAGAATCAGACTTGCTATTGAATTAAGGATCTTCTTTTTCACATGGAAGAAATGCCTGGGCAGAGACTTCCACTGTTTTCCTTCAAATGAGCAACAAAAATGTGCCTTATTCTTAAGGGAAAAGGCATCAGTGAAGTCTTCTGACTCTGGTGGATCTCTTGTCCTCTTTTGACCTGGCCGTGCTGAGCACTGGTGGGGTGGACAGGAAAGGAAGCCCAAACCATCAGCCAAGCAGAAACTGGAACTTGTGCCCGACTCCCACGCAGCCTGCGCTCACGCGGTTTTAGCGAAGGACTTTGGGCAAGTTCCAGTACCTTCTAGAGCGAGGGGGTGGAATTTGGATGCTCTGGGTACATTGGCATGGGTGTATTGGCTTTGCTGGGGTCTGGACAGCTCAGGTGCGACTAGGGATGAGTCTGGCTGGAGTGGGAGCCACTGGTAAATGGCCAGAGCGTGGTGCTGGGACTGAAGCAACAGCGTGTGTCGGCCCAGACCACCGCAGGATATACACACACAGTCAAAGAGTTCCTTTTGCCATCCCCACCCAGCCGCTTTAGTAGGCAGTAGGCATGAAAATACCTCAATTTTGGCAAAGTGACACACAAAGGAGTCCAAGGGCACAGAGAAATCAGCAATCTGGAATACTTCACGTCGGAAATTCTCTCCAAACTATTCCCAAAGTGGAAGGCTTGAAGTTTTCAGGCTGTTATTTCAAGCTAGCAAGAATTTTTCCACCTGTCCATGAACATACCTCCCATGTATCCAGAAAATCTGTGTTGCTGGGAATGATCGTGCTATTTCCATCTGCAGGAAATAGCTCCTCTCCTGCCTGTCATTGCAAAAGAACAGTGAGTTTAAGGCAGGATGAATTGTAAGTAGTTAAATCACTTAGAAATTCTGTAAGTGAGTGGAGCTGCAGGCACGCTGGGTACCCTGGCTTATGTTTGTGTTGGGGAGAGAGGTGGCCAAAACCAGTATATCTGTACAAACAGAGAAATCTTCAAGAAAATCTGCGTCTTGAGAATCTGTCCTGCAGGCAGAGGAAGGGCAGACACTTTCATGTGCTGCAGTCAGGTTGGGAGAAGGCCAGGGATGGGACACAATGGGGCACCAAGGATTCATTTAACCTGGGGCTAGAGAGAGAAGAGAAAAATAGGAACTAAGTCATTCACAACTGTTTGATTCTGGATAAGCAACTGACAGCCAAATCCCAGTAAGAGGAACGTGATCTGGATGGTAATTTGATCCATGACATGGGAATGCTGTGCAGGGTAAAATAAGGTGATTTTTGTACCGCAAGACCTGGCTTAAGCATCCATGACCTTACTTTTCCTCCTGGGCACTCCGTGCAGAGGTTTGTCATTACGTCCCAATGAGGTTTATCAACACTCCTCATTAGAGAGGACTAAGGGCACATCCAGACCCAAAGGAAAAAGTGGCAGAGCTCTGACAGATGGCTCCCAGGAGTTAAGAGTTTTGATATCTTGAATTCCATGGGCCAGTGCATCAGGTAGAGATCCAAATAATCCAGCTGGAGGGCAGCAAGTGCTTTCTGGCATGCCTCCTTCACCAGGGATCTCTCGTCGAAGGTGGACCACCGCTGTTAGGGTAACGCAAAGCCTGGGAGCTGCTCTCCTAGCCTCACGACCACAGAGCATCCCTGGCAGGGAAGCACACTGTGCAGGTACAGAGACACCTCACGATATGTCACATCTTCTCGTCTTGAGGAAGTGCTGCTTTTCTGCACCTTACTTGACTTGTGGTACTGTCAGTTCAGTAAAACGAGAATGAGATACTCTAAAATCCCAACGTTTCATACAACAATTAAACAAAACGAAGAAAAAAAAGCCAAACTGGTGAAAATGGACCCGCCAGCTTCCAGCAGATAGAAGTTACTTTATTTTTCCTACCATTGTTGTTGGGGGAAAAAACAAAACAAAACAAAACCTATGGGAGTTAACAGGCTGAGGCCGGCAGCGCAGCGGGAGCGACCACAAATACAATAGCCTCGCTTCCTATCTCAGAGGCAACTGAGAGCACGGCCTCAGTTCCTGTCTCCGTGGCTGACAATGGATATGGACTACAAAAAAATCCCTCTCAAATCAAGCCATCTTTTTTTTTCAAGAGTTGACCTCTTCCTTCCCTCCATTCCCAAAACGCTTCGCCCTGACAGAAGGGAGTTAGTTCCCAGACCAGCTTCATCCCCCGGCGCTTCGCCAGTTGGGACCTTGTCTGGCCTCATGTGAGACACGTTATCCAAGGACATACCTGACTGACAATAAAGAGGTCTTCTCGCCTCACAACCCCTCCTCCATTTTTTCTTGTAGTGCATCCCTGATCCTCACTCTCGTTCTGGTACAGGTAGGCACAGTCAAAGTAGTGGTACCCAACACTGACGGCAAACTTCACTGCGCCTCTCGCAGTTCCTTGGAGAGACTGAAACAAGAAAAAAAGTCAGTAATTTGGTAAATAACAGGAAAAGAAGTTTGGTGTCCTCCAATCTGGAGACTTTAAACCCTCAAATAATGAGGCCTTCCAGTTCGGATCTTGCATTTGTTTTGGTTTTTCAGACAGGCTGAGAGAGTTGGGGCTGTTCAGCCTGGAGAAGAGAAGGCTCCGGGGCGATCTTGTTGCAGCCTTCCAGTACTTAAAGGGGGCTACAGGAAAGCTGGAGAGGGAATTTAGACAAGGGCGTGTAGTGACAGGACAAGGGGCAATGGATTTAAACTGAAAGAGGGGAGATTTAGATTAGATATAAGGAAGAAATTTTTCACTCTGAGGGTGGTGAGGCACTGGCACAGGTTGACCAGAGAAGTTGTGCCTGCCCCATCCCTGGAAGTGTTCAAGGCCAGGATTGATTAGGCTTTGAGCAACCTGGTGTAGTGGAGGGTGTCCCTGCCCATGGCAGGGGGGTTGGAACTGGCTGATCTTTGAGGTCCCTTCCAACCCAACCCATTCTATGATTCTATGATTCTATGTTCAGACACCAGGCTATCTGGAAATAAGTTCTAATTTGCTCAGAAATTAAAAGCAATTTTAGTATTAGATACCAGCGACACGAGGAAATGACTGACCTCTGGAAAGCCTGCTGGCCCTGCACACAAACAAGGCGGCTCTTGTTGACACGGGACAAGGGAGGTGAGGAGACAGCAAAACGCTACAGACAGTGCCACCTCCTGGGTAAAACACACGACCTGGCATTTAATAGCAAAGTCAATCACTTCAGGGTCTTGGCTTGGAGACACTGAAGAGTTGTTTGATGACTGGATACCGATTCTGGAAAATGGCATGTCAAACAGAAACGTGATTCAAAACCACGACCAGCTTCTGCGTTTAACTTCATTATATCCCCACCCATCATTTTTTTTAATTATTTCACTTCTCCAAGTATTTCCAATCAAAGGGTGCTTGGCCAGTTCACTCAAATTAAACAAAAACACCATAGAATCTGCAGCGTTTTTTTCCACAAGGCTTCACACAACGAGCCAGTTTGAAGTTTTACAAGTTTTCCTTTTTCTTAGAATCATAGAATGGTCTGGGTTGGAAGGGACCTCAAAGATCAGCCAGTTCCAACCCCCCATGCCATGGGCAGGGACACCCTCCACTACACCAGGTTGCCCAAAGCCTCATCCAACCTGGCCTTGAACACTTCCAGCGATGGGGCATCTACAACTTCTCTGGGCAACCTGTGCCAGTGCCTCACCACCCTCAGAGGGAAGAATTTCTTCCTTAGATCTGTTCTAAATCTCCCCTCTTTCAGTTTAAAGCCATTGCCCCTTGTCCCTTTCACTACACGCCCTTGTAAAAAGTCCCTCTCCAGCTTTCCTGTAGGCCCCCTTTAGGTACTGGAAGGCTGCAATAAGATCACCCCGGAGCCTTCTCTTCTCCAGGCTGAACAGCCCCAACTCTCTCAGCCTGTCTCCATAGCAGAGGTGTTCCAGTCCTCGCATCATGTTCGTGGCCTCCTCTGGACCTGCTCCAGCAGCTCCATGTCCTTCTTGTGTTGGGGACTCCAGAGCTGAACGCTGTATTCCAGCCCCTTTCCCCATCCCACCCCTTCCTACGTGTGAACGCTGCAGCTCCCAGGGCAGCACAGGAAAGCAGGCTAATGGCAGCACTGGCCATATGCCACACATCATAGAGTACCTTATCTCTGGGTGCTGCTGTGGCACGGGAAAGCTGCCATGCAGGAGTAATCGGCATCGCTTTGGAGCGGAGGAGTCGCCAGTGGACAGCAAAGGTAACAATATACCCTGTGATTACACAAAACTCCGTAACGCGAGATGTTTTTCAGAAAAAAATAATCTATTGCTTCATTTTACATGGTGCTCACTGAACAGGACTTCGAGTTCTTGACGGGCTAGAGGAGAGGCCCCTTGGTCGCACCGCAGTGCCAGGAGTCGCAGCCGGAGTTGCTGTGGGAACCTTGAGATCCAATAGCTGTAAGTGGTCGCAGTGGGTTTGGGCCGTGTTTTCATTCCATTAACACAGGAGATTTTTGTGGTGGCAGGGATCATGTGTCCAGAATTTTCCTTCCATTTAGTCCTAACCAGTTCCTGTCACCATCTGAACAGGTTCCTTCCGAGAACTTGTCCATCGGAGCACCAGTCCCCTGCCAGCCCCACCCAAGGCACGCTTTGGTTTGGTTAAAGCCTACTTAGTTTCTTGAGGCTTCTTAGGGTCTTTTGTCACCAGACCAATCAAAACTGAAAGAGTTAAACAAACTCAGCCCCATTTGTGCATAAGTTACGTGATGATTAGCAGCAGTTGACCCAAAAATACAGCAAGATTAATTTAAGATACTTCCATGCTGCCTGGATGGTGTTTCATAGGGTTGGCAGCTTACAATTCAACGAATTTAATTTCCAGTCTCAAATCCAGGGACAATCCACTCTTTTTTTTCCCTTTCTTAAGAAGCTCACTTTCTGAAAATTTTCAGCTCGTTTCCAGACTCCTTTTACATTTATAATTCAGTATATCCTTAAATCTTCTCCCTTACCCAAAGCCCGTTAGATCCCATTTGCAGATAAAGAGCTACCCAAAGAGCTGCCTACTCCTCTGCTGCCATACAAATAAGTTCTCCTCAGTCTCCAAGGAGTTAATGTCAATTCTCCTTGCCAAATCCACTCATTGCCACTTCAGTTGGAGGAAATGGCTTTGCAGGGAATAATGAAAGACAAAGACTCCAGATCAAACTTATTAGAATGGAAAAAAAAAAAAACAAAAAACAAACAAAAAACCAAGCTAGCCAGAAGTTTTTATAGAATGTAATTTTTTTCTATGGATAAGAATGTTCTACCTGCTCGCTACCTGCACTAAGTGAGCTGCCTTAAAGAATTTCCTGAAGGGCAAGGTGTAAATACTTGCATGACCTGAAATATTCCAACAGGCAAGAAACACCACACAGAGGATTTGCTGCATTTTCCTGACCCGGAGAGAAGAGAGATGGAAAGTCCATCCTGATTTGCAGCAATTTCCTGGTGTTGCCTGCATGACCACAGGCATGGGGACAAGGAGAGGTTCCCCAGCCCCAGGATGGGAATCCCCATGTGAGAGGGCAGCTCCAGGTAGGTGGCCATGGGTGGTCTCCTCAGTCGCCACAGGCAAGGAGAGGCTGCAGCCCCTTGTGAAACTTTTAAATAGGCTTTGCCCGTCCCTCCTGCCTTTGGACAAGGGAAATATGGGCAGAAGTGCTACAATGAGCTAGAGAAGACAGGGATTTTGCCTTTATCTCAGCCTTTGAAGAATTTAAAAACTGACTGTGGGCTCCTCACATGGATTTTTTTGAGTGAGCTTGTCATGCCAGTTCCATACATTGCATTGACCGAGGTTGCAGCTTTCTGTGTACCTCACAGGCTCTGCTTTTCTGCGGGAAAAGCGGCCTTCGGGGACTTCGCACGCACCCCAAGAACCATTTCTCATCTCACTTGTCTTCTCCTGAGCAGATCACCAGAAGATGGCACAAACAAAGCTGTTTGTCTCAGGAGGACACACGGTCCTGGCCACAGGAGGGATTGTTGTTAAAAATTTTCCCAATACTGCTTCATCCCCGCAGCACCCGGCATCTGCATCACACCCGTCCCCTCCGCTGCCCCCGTTGCAACCCATGGCTCATGCTCCGGAGCTGCAGGACATGGAGACAACACCGTCCTCTCCAGGAATTGCTCCCCCGCTTGAGAAAGGAGCTCAGAAATAAACAAAGCTTTGTCTTTTCAAGATCCGTCACGTCAGCTCGGTGTGACTTTGCAAAATCAAAACTGCTTGGTCTGCAAGACTGACAATCACCAAAGGCACACCATGGCACGTCTGTGTTTCATGGAGCAGCCACTGCGTTGTTTTCTACTTGCCCACTTTTCGGGAGCCAAACAGCTTCGGGTGTCTTGTCCCTTGACGCGGTGTTACTGCTACTTTACGGTCTTTCCTGCTTGCGTGCTCTCCTACATGAGATTTTACTGTTCACAACTGAAAAGAGTCTTCTGCATAAACTGGAAAAAACAGTTTTACAAGGCTCCAGAGGAAGAGTAGCCTATTCTGGAAAATCTAAACCCTCTTGTTTTTATGCAGAGTGGTTTTGATCCCAGCCTAGAGCCTCCTGTGTCCTGGCAGAAGGAGCTGGCATGCTCCTGGTTTCAGAGCCCTGCCCAAAATTTTGCAAGAACTCACTTTAAAGATATGAGTGCTAAGCATTTATTGTTTATCCAGCCGTTAAAGGACTTTTCCTTCCCTGTCATTTCTTTGCCTGTTAGAGGCAAAACCAGGGTAACGCCACGTTTCGACAGGCAGCATCTCCGATGCCCAGCGCCCGGGGCAGGTCGCTCCCTTCAGGCACATTCTACCCTGTGCAGACCCTGTACGCGGAATACGCTCAACCTGGAAGCGTAAACCTGTTGTTTTGAAGTCAACAGAGATGAAAGTCAACAAAGCCCGAGAAGCTGAGCACGAGCACACTCAGCACTCCTGGGGCAGACACCCCAAGAGCCCTTTGCAGGCCAGCAGGCATCAATCCACCCTGCTGCTCCCTACAACAGGTCCCCGGGGCTACCAAACTCTTGTCCTCCAGTGCCAGATTTCCTTTAGGATTTTGTACCTTTTCACGTAGGGTAGTTTTCCTCTCGTATCCTCAAGACGTTGCTCATGCCCATCTCAAACAGCAGCAGCCTGACTTGTCCTGCACGCCCTGCACTGTGGACCTTCTCACTGCTCCGTCCTACAGCTTGGCCCGTTCCCCAGCAGCTGGAGCCAGAGCTGGATTTGGCCACGGGCACCTCAGCCCCACATCCGAGGATTTTGAGGTGTGCAGCTTCGAGACAAGCTTAAGGAGAACCTTTTTCATTTTATTTCTGAGGTCAAAAAGACCAGTAGTGCTCTGCCCAAATTCGGCAAGGAAAGCAGCAAGGTGTAACCAGCAGCTGTACTGCTCAGCACTGCGATATGCACTTCTGGGGGTTTTCTCCTGATCTGTGGGAAAAATGAGTGACATAGAGGAAAGATATATGGCCACCGTGGCTCTCTGGATTGTCCACCTGACGCCCTGTTCACAGTGACTGCTGAGGTACCGGTACAGCTGGTCTGCAGCCAAGGATGGGAAGAAATTGCCTTCAGCTCATGGCAGAAATCAATGTAGATTAAGGACGGTGGCTTTCCAGGACAACTGTCATGATCCCTGTCCCTCAGTGATGTGTAGCTGTCTCCCTAATGAGAAGGACTCTCCTGGTTCCTCGATCTCCACTCTGCCCATCACAAAGGCAGCCACGGAGAAGGTTATCCCACTCGCTGCTCTGGCCATCCCTCACACTGCAAGGCACATTTTCATACTGGATCAACCTGCATCCCACTGGCTGCTGAGATTTCAGTCATCAGTCTATTTTAGGAAAACAGTCAGTAGCTCAGAGCACTCTTCCTTAAGCCTGTGTGAAAGTCCTCATCCCCTTCGCCTTTATTTTTAAGTCCTTGTTCAGTTTTTAACAGCACTTACAACTTTTCTTGGGTTTTTTTCCATTCGGGTAGCTCAGAAGCATTTCTGTTCCAGTTTCTTGACTTCATGTATGTCAGAAATTTTTGCTATCTACGAAGCTTTCTAAAGTGTTGGTGACTCCTGGGCATTAGGAAAGCGCTGCCCTCTGCTCGCCACTTCTGCTGCTCCCCTGCAGGAATATTATCACAGGATGCATTATGGGAATCTCTCAGGCACAACAGATTATTGGGATCCATAAAATGATCAGTAAAGCCATTATTATTAAAATTACTAGTGATGCTGAGTCCTAATATGATTTACACATTTCATTGTAGTTTAGAGTAACTACAGTCTTACCAACCCATGGTTTTAAATCTCTACTAGAACAGGTCCTTTTTTGAAGTTTTTTTTTAAATGTAGATCCCATGTGAAACGTTTTTGTGTAAATACCAATGATAACGAGTTGATCAGTGATTCTTGTGAACTAAAATGATACTGGAAGTAAAGTGCCAAAAAATTACTTCTCTTTTACTTTCACACGTAATTTTGGGATTTACAACATATTGAAGTTTTAGAGATTATACATGCGTGTGATATGTATTTATTATATATATTATATATATTTACTTTTTTCTATTTTTCTGTGTGTTTCTTGGAGGTGAGGAGTATCTGAATCTGAGGAGAAGTCTGTCAGATGTGAAGCAGAGAATGTGTATTTTGCTACTGCTCCTTCCCTTAAGGCATGGTAATCCCAAACCAAACAAAAAACGGGAAGGAAGAGTTACCAGGACCTACAATAATCTCTCCAGACATGTACTCTTGGCTTTATCTGGCTTTCCAAAGCCCTTGCTACCCATGCTAGGCTTCATTCACACAGTGGCTCAACCATAGGACAAATCATCCTGACTCCTTTGCGGTCATCTACAGCGGAGATTTTTTTTCCGGCAGAAATCCAGGTGGTGCTTTGCTGTAGCCAGCCCCTGGGCAAGGTGGACTCCACGTTACAACTGGTCTCCGTGTTATAACTGCGTATCTATACACTAGCGCTGAATCCCTTGCACTTTGCTAAAAGTTTGCACGCCTCCCATTCCTCCCCTGGCCCATCTGGATCTGGAAGCAACACAAGCTTTCATGTGACAGCAAGCCTGACAAAGAAACCCATTGTGTCTCCAGCACGAGGGTGAAGAGGCCAGGGAAGGTTTAGCCTCATTTCCTCAGCTGTTGGAGCTAAACATTAGCAGTAGCTCCAGCCTGAATACTTGATCCGAGCAACCCACCTCCGTGCATGAGGCCTGTAGCCCCTCACCTGCATTTATGGTGCTTAGGAATAACAGATCGAGAACAATCCACAAGACTTACTTTCTAGGAAATTCATACCATACTATTTTATTCCAAAAAGCATTGACTACTTTTCATTGAGATACTGACTGAAAAGAATCTTAACATATCTCAGCAATCGCTTCCTTGATTGGTGATGCACCTGGAAGGTTATGACACGTTGGAGGCATTTTTCGTAACTATAGCTTGTTTTTAAATTTCAAGTTATATCAAATTAGAAATGTCTTGTCAGTCTCATTAACTTCTCAATTTCTAGAAGTGCACAGTGCATGTGAAGTAGGTGAAAGACAAAGTGCTGGATAGAGTGGACAGGAACTTGGTTTTCTCACTCACCCATTGCAAGGTGCTTTAGAAAGAGCGTAACGCATTCCCAGAGGTGAATAGGCTGAAAACTCCTCATCCTAGTAACAAACAATACACTGGGATTTTTTTTTAAACGCAGAATGAGCAGTAAAAACACAAGAGAGTTGAACAGAATAATAGACCTTGCTAGTGCAGTGAAATAAATACCTGCTGGTTCATAAAAATGTAATTACACAGCTATGCACCAGGATTTCTCAATTCACCTTCCACATACCAATAGAAAATAGACATGGTTCGAGAACTTTGTCATCATTCCCAAAATAAAATTGGGTTATATACAGCTGTTATTATAACTAAATAAGTAATTTTAAAACATGATCAGTCTCACAAAAATAGCACCCTTGTAAGATACAGTCAAAGAATATATTAGGCTAGAAGGTACTTTTAGATCTCAAACCAAAGTTTTTAACTTTCCTCACAGCTGAGTTTTGTGGTGAACTTTTAGCACACTCTTCTTCTGACTGTCACATCTTACCAACCTTCCTTTCTAGTGCTCTCTGCGTTTTCCCTCCAGCTGTGCAGTCTTGCCATGGGAGCACAGGCTGAGCCAAGAGCACAGAGTGACAGGACTCACCAGGAGATTTAAAAACTACTCACTCTCTTTACAAAATTGTTCTCTCCAGAACACTTTCTGCTTGAGGGACATTTCCACTCCATGGGCAGAGAAGGAAGGGAGAGAGCAAGACAATTCCAGCTGGCAACTAGCTGAGAGTACTAAAGGAAAATCCCAAACGTTCAAGCACATCAAGGCATCTCACTTCTCCTCCACAGTGTATGGACTCTACTGTGCAAAATCACTAGGTAGATTCCGAATCTCTGTTAGTTGCTCTGAATATTTTCCTTTATATAGGAAAGAAAATGCATATAAAAGCCTGATAAGCATGCTAAAAAAAAAAAAAACCTGTGTAAATATATACAAAGTCATCTTGTAAATCAGAATTACTACAATAGCTCCTGATTTAAAAACATACCTTTATGCTGACACCAACTTTCAAACACATCTCAACCCCTGCAGTGATTCCTTTTCAGGAAGGTTTTAAGGAGTAAAGATCACTGGTGCATCTGTCGTAAGGGTTCCAATCCTTATTCCAGCTGTTTCTCAAGACTTTTGGGTCTTTCTCTGCCCAGCTTGCCAGCATCTAACATGGTGCTAAATGGCTGTCACAGCTCTCCAACCATGCTACGTGCCTCTCTGGGGCATCATGCAGGCTTTTGGGCCAAACGCTTCCCCTGTACCAGAACCTAGGCATCGGCATGAAAGAAACTGGAAAGTCAGAAGAGACCAGGATTGACTTCACTATCTTTTAAGAGGAAATTAATACATAGAATCACATAAATATCAAAAATATATGAAATAAAATGTTTCTAAGTGCAACGGTTCTTATATTCTTTCTCTAGCTGAGTCCCTCCTCCTGCATTTTTTTTTATAAATAAATGTGAAGATCGAGGTCGCTGACTGAGTACAGAATGTCTTTCTTGTGGATCATCTGTACACGTCCACACTGGCACAGAGATGTTAAGTTCCATGGACGACAACACAGCTTCCCAAGACATTCTGATACTCCTGGATAAGGCTAGTGAGGATTTTTTTTCATGTAAATCAAGAGATACGCCGTGTTCCCCCTGTGGAAGCAAAGAACAAGCAAAACAAGACGTATGTTTGAAGGTCCAAGTTGCAAGTAACCTCCCAGCTTTGCTCCTGCTCAGCTTTTTGAGGTTTCAGTCAACGGAACTGGCTCTCTCCAGTGTTCCTGAGGCAGCATATAAAGCTGACCCCTGGCAGTGCTGTAGCTTATAGGAGGGGTTATCTCTCTCCACGGCTTATTTTCTTATGGTGCACCAAAACCAAAGCACAGAGGAATCCTGACGGACGTATCTAACGTCAGTCAGGTCACAGAGCCCAAGTGGCAATCGTAAGTAACAAGACCGCTCCTGCAGCCCCATTTGTGACGACTCAGGAATCCTGCAGGCTCCCAGTATAGCCATATACAGTCACATCAGAGTGACCAGAATACAAGGATGCCTCTTCTACTTTCCTGCATGCCCTGTACATCTCAGGCAATATGCAGTTCAAACCATTTGTCTTCCCTCTCTTTGCTACCCTCATTCCAAACCCCCGAGCAGCATTAGGGAAAAACAGAGATATGTTTTGTTTGCTTACCAGTGAAGGTTGAAATGTCCATAGGTGCATTTCACATCATCCCATGATACCTAGAGAAGAAAAACACACAAGTAGAGGCTGGTAAAAACCTTTAAGAGATGGACATATGTAACAACAGCACAGCAATTCTTGTGACGGTGGTATAAGTGGTACTTCTAGGAGCTAAACACCTCTTAATAAATTGGTTTATTGCTTTTACCCTTCAAGGAAAAACAGTTCCTTTGCCTCTTCTGAACACATACATTAAACAGGTCTAGAGTACATAAAGTAGAGCATAGAGCAAAGAGCTGCTTCTGCAAATTGCAAGCCAGAACTCGAGGCCTTGCTTGGTACAGAAGCTAGAGCTGTTTTGCCCTCAGCTCAGAGCATGCTGCAGCAGAGGAAAGAGGTACACGAAGCCCTGCAGCTTCAGTTTTCTTTCCTGGTTCTCTTTAATCAGCAGTCAGTATGAGATCTGGAGGAGCGTCCGGGAAGCTAGAAAAGAAAGGTGGGTTTGTCTCCTCACCTGGCAAACCTCAGAGTCGTTGAAGCAATACCATTTACACTCTGTGAGACTTCGAATATAGGCACAGTAGTGTCCACAACTATTTGATCCCGAATGGGCAACAACAGCAAAAAGCTCGTACTGCCAGGCAGCCTGCGAAGAACCACAAAGAGCAACTTTCAGTGCAGCAACTTCATTCGCCATCGGCTGAACAGGGCAGCAAGAACGTGCATTTCATAAGGAAAAAGGAGAAAGATTAGATTGGCCTTGAGATTCCCACCTTTTTCGCTCCTACCCTCAGAGTTTTGCCTGCCAGCTACAGGCTGGCAGCCTCCCTGGCAATCACAGGAACGTGAAAAAGGCAGTAGGACAGACAAGGTGCAACAAAGGGGTTACACTGCAACCAACAGCAAGGTGTTGCTGTTGCCACACTTGCCATTGTTATTTCTCAGTAAAGGGAACAGATCCACAGCGTGGCAGATCACCCTCGGCTGCCTGGCAAAGCTGTCATCTCCTGGCTAACCTCGACAGTATGGCAAACACCACTGCACGGGCAACTGCCAGGAATGGAGTTCCCCTGTCTTGGACTAGTGACCTCTGCAAAGCAGAGGCATGAGGCTGAACCACAGGAGAGAAGTTGGCTCTAAGACATTGTTCATCCAAATGAACTGTGTTTTCATCTTTTCTTTAGTATATTTAGAAATGGAATTAAAAAGTTACGCAAAACATTCTCAGGAAAAAAAACCAAAAACAATCAGTTTGCCTTTTTTTTTTTTTTTGTAAAGCCTGGTTTTTGTCCTTATGGCAGAAAGCTCCAGTTGTGGTGGATTTGGTGATTTAATCTGAGCACAGAAAGCTGCATAATGCCTGAACCAGTTAAAGCCATGAGATGTGAGACAACACCAAGTACAGGTAAAAGCCTGAGAAATACATTTCAAAGACAGGTGCTTTGAAATGAGGCAAGTACTGGTGTTTCTTAAGTTTTTATGAGACTTGAGCAGCGGGGAGAAGAACATCTACCCTTTTTAGACAGGGCATCAGGAGTATCTCACCTTTTCATCATCATCTGCTTGGCACTGGTTTTCGGTCAAGACCGCATTGAAATCGAGGCCTTGTGGGAACGGCAGATAGTGACTCAGCTTGCGAATGGAGGCTGATTTTTCGAAGCAGAAGCGCTTTAGGTGTATGGTCAGAGTCTGTGGCAGATGGACTAGCTTCATGCTCTGTAAAGCAGTAAATAATGCCATTGAAAACTAAGGAACAAACCCTAGGGAGGTGGGGTGGAAACAGCCTGCTACCCACTGAATGCAGTATGGAGAACAGTCAGTGCTACAGCAAATGATTGCCAGTTCCAGTGGACAGCAGATGCCAAACCTTTGCAGCTCATCTGCGCGAGACACACACACGTAACAGAGCTGTGATAACCAAGTTTCTCAACTTGAGTGTGATCAGCACCCAGCCTTGGGTGTCTCATGAGCTGCTTCATCTCTCATCTGCTTTTTTAACCCTAGGCTGGTAGCACAGGTGAGGAGAAGGAAGCCAACTTCCTTGTGACATGTGGCCACTAGAGCTACGTGGAAGATACCAAGCTGACAGCCCACTCCTTCTAGCACTGTCTTTGTTGATACTACTGCTGGTGCCACGGCGGCCACCAAGACATATAGATGCATTGTGGCACCTCGGAGGCAGCCCACTGGTGAAAATGTTGTGGGAAGTCCCCTCCAAGCCTTCAGCTGAGGTAGCCTCCCTCACACACCTCTCTCTTCCATTTAACAGTGAATACATCGGCTGGCAGAAACCAACACTGTAAAAAAACAAGGAGCCCAGTGGAGAGCAGGGAAGGAAGGACCCTACTTCTGTGTCTACACACAGCTCCAGTAACATATTCTTGTCTACCCGTGGAGCTACACTGTGGTGTAAAGCCCCACAGTGGAAACACAACAGAAACCAACAGAAACTTTTCCACTGGTACAGAAATGGCACATCTCTCGGTGACTTACATTGAAACCCATGAAAGCATTATTTTGTCGCTAGAGCTGCATCTCAGTAGGGATCCTCCCACCAGGAAAGATGTGGTTTATAGCTAGCTGACATTGCTGTGCTGACAAATCTTTCAGTTGCAGATCTCCTCGTAAGCTGATATGGTTCAGTCCTTTCCCCACCCTTCCCAGTCCTAGAGGGAGTTCTGGGTATGAGAGACCCATAATAACTCTCTGATTACCTGCAGAAAAGGTGTTTTCCTTCCACATTGTTCACAGAAACACATGTTGTGATCAGTCAGCTCTTCTGGATGGAAAAAGCATTGCAGGCAGTCCTCCTAAGAAGACAGGAGATTTCTGTCAAGTGAATTCCTTCAAGCTGGATTCTAGATCTACTTTGTTTCACAGGGTACAAGCAAACAGCAAAGCGTATTTTATTCAAAGGACAAAAGATTGCCTAGCAGCCTAAAAGAAGCACCCCATTTTTTCTAGCTGCTGCTGTGATTACATTAGTTGAAAAACAGAGCACCACATTTTCCACAAAAAAAGATATTGATGCATGTCCTGGTTTTGACTGGGACAGAGTTAGTTTTTCTTTTTAGCAGCTAAGAAGAGCTCCGTGGTTTGGATTTAGTCTGGGGTTTGTTATGAGAAGAATGTTGATGGTGCACTGGTGTTTATAGTTGGTGCTGAATCAGCAAGGACCTTTCAGCTTCCCATACTTTTGCCAGTGTGCAGGAGCACAACGGGCTGGAGGGGAGCATAGCTGGGACAAGGGGCCCACACTCCTCCTATGATTTGAACCCAAACCCAGGACTGAGGGCCGAATTGGCCAGTGGAGTATTCCATATCATGCAATGTCATGCCCAGTATATAGGTCAGGGTTGACCAGGAGGAAGTTATTGCTCTTTCAAGGGCTCATTCTCTTCCAAGGGCTCTCTCTTAGACTCTCGGTCTCTTGGGGTTCTCTTTCTCTTTCACTGTCTTTACAGGCCTCTCACTCAACACTGCAGTGTTGGGATTTACCTGTTTCAGGATCATTTGCTGGGATGGGACGGGCGTTGGTCACCACACGGTGAGCAATTATACTGTGCATCACTTTTTTGTATATATTATTTACATATTTTTTCATATAATGTTATAATTTATTTACCATTATTAGAGTCAATACCCTTTTTAAAGAGGCAATTCAAGGACTTTATTTTCCATCTCCCAAATCAAACAAAATTTTTGAGAAACTTAGAACCTCTCAAACCAAAGAAGAAACATGAATGAGAAAAGATCACCTCAAAGTCCCAGACACTCTTCAGAGATTCTTGCAGAGATTCTAGATGAGTCTCAGGGGACACCAGTGCTACAAGGAGAAGGCTCCCACAGCGAACAGAGGGGAATCTTCCTCCTAAGGAAACCATGCTGCCACTGAACTTACCAGAGTCTTCAGCATGTGAGAATTGGAATCCAACACTGGGAGTGGAAGGGTTAACATGTTGCTGTTCCTCTTTGTTTCAAAAGAGCATTTCTGACATGCCAGGTGCTCCTGTACACAGATAGTGTACAAATCATTCAGCTCTTCAACCTGGAGGGGTAAAAAAAGGCCAAAACAAGGTTTATAAAGAGCACAGCTGAGGTTATTTCCCTCCGTGGGTGGGAAAGCCCATGTGGACACATTACTTCAAGCAATGTTACTGCTGAATCCAGATCTGACATTGACTTATGTGAACAGGGCACTTCCCACCATTTAAAGGAGAGAACAGGGTACTTCCCACCATTTAAAGGAGAACAACTCCTTCCCCTCATCCCCTGTCAGAGGGGAAAGACATGGTCTATAACAAGATCAGACAGTTAAATGACTGCTTTGATGCAGAACGTTACTGCTTCATCTGGAACTTCAACAGGAGCCTGTCTTCTGTATGAATAAAACTTTGACAGTGGGTTGAAGAAGAGTCACGTTCCTCTTTCCTTACACAGCTCCCCTGGGAGGAACTCTCATACACGTAACATACAGTGACTAATTATAATGACTTCAAGGAATGGAGGAGCTGCGTCAAGACACGCCAATAAATGCTTACAGAAATTTGGGAAAAAAAAAAAAAA